GCAAAGCAAGATGTGCAACAGTTTTTAAAACAGTTTTTAAAATTGATAGACCTGATGATGGTGTAATACACATCGAAACATGTCGTCAATATAAAATGTAACAAGATCTAGTATCTAATGAAAAAATGTTGTAATTTTAAGTAATTTTAACAACATTTTTAAGTTTGTGTATAGACGGTAAATAAATTATTGTACTTATATATTCAGTTTTGTGTTACACGTGGAAACCTTTAATGTGTTTGGGAATTATAATCTATATACTGTTTGAAGATTTCTGAGTGGTTTGCTTTGTTTAGAAGTGGCCAAATGTGCCACATGCTCCATAATAATAATCTGTGGCGTAACAACCCTCTGAGAGCCAAAGCCGACTAGCTGGCTGCCGGCCTAAGTGGAGGTGAACGATCATCCAACCAGATACAGGGTGACGTGCGGTCAGCACAACGAACCCCCAGCCATTGCTAGTTTCCATGACCGACACTTGCTCCGTACCTCGTCAGTTTATTAATGTCACATTTGTAATCAGCCATTTGTATTCTAATACAAATTGTGGAGGAAGATGAACGATCATTAATAAAGTGCTGAATGAAGTTTATAAACATAGTGCAGTGAAACTTTATTCTTCTAGCAATTGTAAGTATTTCCATGCACATACTTGATCTTTATCATATGGGTGTAATAAATTTCTTCTCCTTCTATGGCTCTCTGGTCCGTATTCAGTCATGGCCTCCTCAATTCTCCTCTTCCATTCAGTCCTCTGTTAGGTCCATCTGTCGGAGGCTTTGATTGAGGTTTTGAAACATCCTCCTTTTTATAGTGCAAGGTTGTTAGCCTTGCGACCAACCCCCAACCTGGAGGACCAGGGTACCTGTCTTAGTCTGACCTCTCCTCCTCAACCATTCTGGCTAGGGAGGCCCTACCAGTGGCTAAGCTACCGCCAGCATAGCTCTTGGTATCAGTGAGGTACTCTAGCCCCACCACCACGACAAGGTGAAGGTACCACTAAGTGGGGGTAATAAATTTAGGTTGCTGAATTAAGGGGCTGCTGGTCTAACTTCAACTATATGATGAACAATTTATTGGTATTTTACTGCATCACATGACCAGGTAAGGTCATTTGAATTGCATGTAAGCGGTAATACACAGTCATTGAAGGTTAAGGTATAAGTACAGTTTCTCACAAAATTGTTAAAGGTTTTTAAAGTTTTAAAGGTATTATGTTAATATGAGTCACGCTTCGGACCTGTGATATGGAATGCGCGCTGGTTCGAGTCTCGGGGAAAGAAATTTCTCATGAGATTTTCGACTGGTGTGTGGGACCGGTGCCAACCCAGCATCGTGAAGAAATTGGGGAGCTACAATGGGTAGCGTAATCCGGTCATGAAAACTAGCAATGGCTGGGGGTTCGTCGTGCTGACCACACGTCACCCTGTATCTGGTTGGATGATCGTTCACCTCTGCTTAGGCATGTGAACATGAGGCCAGCAGCCAGCTAGTTGGCTTTGGCTCTCAGAGGGCTCTTACGCCACGGATTATTATTATTATGTTAATATGATATGTGAAAATTATTTTAAAGGTGAAATGCAAAGGTTTCAGATGTGCTAAGCTATGTTAAATTTACTGTGGTTGAGGTAGGGATTATAAAAGTAAGTATCTAAGATGGAAATTAATTACAGTGTGGATTTTCGTAATAAAGTTTCATAGCACTGTTTATAAGGAGTAGTTCATTATTGGTGAAAATTGTCATGTATTGCCATTTCACCACCAACAGTAAGGTGGTCGTGATCAGTATCCTTTCTGATTGCAGTGGCGAGAGTGGTGCAGGAAAAACTGAAAGCACGAAGCTAATTTTGCAGTACTTAGCAGCTATCAGCGGAAAACATTCTTGGATTGAACAACAGATTTTGGAAGCAAACCCAATTCTAGAAGGTATAATCTTAAAATAAGCCATATCTCCAGTTTTATTTCCTCACCAAAAGTTTATATGCATTTTTTTAACATCTAAGCTGCATGACTCGCATTGTGGTGTCTTTATCTTAACTACCATAACAATACAATAAGAGCTAAGTCAGAGTACTCATTTTGCAATTTCCTGTTCTCCGTAATTAGTGTGTCTTTCTTAGGTGAAAATATACAGAGCAAGGAAAACATTTCTTTATTCTCTTAAATTGATTGTAATGATCCTGAAAATCATATTTGTGATTCTGTTTTTATTTTTAGCATTTGGAAATGCCAAGACCATCCGCAATGACAATTCTTCGAGATTTGGCAAATACATTGATATTCACTTTAATCACCAAGGCGTAATAGAAGGTGCCAAGATTGAACAGTATTTGCTGGAGAAGTCTCGTATTGTGTCACAAAGTGCCGATGAGCGCAATTACCACATCTTCTATTGCATCCTGGCCGGTTTATCAAATGAGGAAAAGAGGAAGCTGGAGTTGGGGGATGCATCTCAATACAGGTATCTCACAGGGGTAAGTGAAGTCATCCTAGTTTTATAGAATGGATATTTTAAAACCTGTACTGACCTCAAAATTCTCTTTCCATTGTCTTCTTCATCTTACTTTTACCCTTCACCCAGTAAATTTATAATGTTGGACTATTTTCAGGTACCTGGCTTTACCAATTCTGTCTAAATAGCATTCACTTCAAATATATTTTCGATCAGAAGTTTCTTATGTGTTTCAGTATTCCTGTTTTTGTCTAATGTGTATCTGAGAATTTTACTACAGAAAACAATGATGACATTCTTATGAATTCAGAATCGTCGAATGAAGATAGTGATGATGAATTTTGTTGTATTCCAATTTAATTAGCTCCATGTAGCAGAATCCTTCAGAAACTGATAGTCGCTCAACTGGACAGGATATTTACCACCAAAATATTAATTATTGTGTTGTGTTTATCATTTGAGAACAAGGATATAAATCCCTATACTTTTGGGCTGCCATCTGAACTTTTATCTAATCTATTTAGTTAATGGTTTAGCAGTATGCTACTGTTACACGTGGCGGCCAGCCGTACTGCACACAGACTGTGACACACTGCTGATGAAAGGTTTAATGACTTTTGATTAGAGCTCTTAACATTTTGATAACAAAGATGCTGCATGATAAGACAGTAAATTTCAAACAGGTTATTTGTAGATTACTTGTCTAATAATATTATTTCCAAAATAGAAAGAAAATCTGCTGTAATGTCACAGATTTTATCAAGAATAAAAATGTCAGATTGTGTTTATTTACAAAACTAATCTTCTGTTCAGTGGAATTCATGTATGACAAGATTGAATGTGATATGAACATACTGTTGTGATTTTTTCTGTTATCAAGTAATGTGTAATTGCTGTGCTAAAATGATCAGACTTGGCCAGTGTAATCGACTCCTAATATAATAGCTAACGCTTATCACAGTTTATACGCTGTAGAAAAAATTGAAAGTAAGTTCTGAGTGGCATATCTGGTAGAGACTGAGAGAGGGAAAAAGAATGATGCTATGGTGGGTGACACTTGTGATAGATCTGGCAGAGTCTGTGTTTTACAGAAGTCTGGAGTCAAGCAGTCAGTTCTGTGTTGGTGTGTTTGGTATGAATCTGGCTTTTTAGCCATGGAAGTGTTTTGACATTTACTTTACTTTATAAAGAAATTTTATAAATGTTCTGCTTTGATTGAAAATAATTTGGTCATGAAAGTTCTTTTGTTAGAATAAAATAATTTTTCTGATCTAATGTCGTGGGGGAAAAATTCATGGCAGACATAAATGCAATATTAAGACATGTATTAAAATATATAATGTTGATATTGTGAAGATATTGGGTAAATTTAGGTGGATTACTATTTTATTCATGCAACTCTGTGACAGGGGGGCAGCATCACGTGTGAGGGAAGAGATGATGCAGCAGAGTTTGCAGACATTCGCTCTGCCATGAAGGTCTTGCTGTTTTCAGACCAGGAAATATGGGAAATTCTGAGACTCCTTGCAGCATTGCTTCATACAGGAAACATCAAATATAAGGCAGCAGTGATAGGTAAATTTTTGGTGTTATGTCATGGCAAATACCATGATTGATTTGTGTTTATCATTTAAGTTTTCAAAACTATTATATATATAAAGTTTCATTGCAGTGTTAGCAAGAGACAGCCACTATACCCTATCATGATCTAGTTAAATCCAGTCCATACATTAATAGCTTATTCTTGAATATGCATTTTAATGTTATCCTTCATTTATCTCTAAGTCTAACGTGCAGTGACATGTTTTCCTATATATAAATGTTTATACTCTTTTGGTCCATTTCAAAATATGTTTGAAATTTCTTTGTGGTGTGTATGGCTTTGCTGATTGTAGTACTGTAACCATCTTGCAGTATGTGAAGCCAAATGTACATGTTACTAAAATGCAAAATGAAACTTACATGTGTGTACTTACATATCTTTAAATAATTTTAAGGTGTAGTGTTGTTCTAATCTTCTCTTATGTTTTTAATCTACTGAGTAATAAGTATTGATGTTTCAATAGATAATTTGGATGCAACAGAGATTCCTGATCACAGCAATGTGCAAAGAGTAGCAAGTCTTCTTGGTGTACCAAAGCAACCACTCATTGATGCCCTGACAAGGAAGACCATCTTTGCTAGTGGAGAAACAGTTGTAAGTTAAGCGTTATCATTATTTATTTTATTTTGTTTTATTTTTAGGTTATCTGTTTATGAGTTAGGATCAAACCTTGAGGCTCACTATATAATAGCTTCTTTGAAGTTAATGAAGTTCTGCATTACGATCTTCCTTAAGATGGGTGGTATTCCCAGAGTAGTCATCTATTTTAGTTTCATGCTGGAGTGTTGACCAAGAATGACATCCAAAATACTTTCAAAATAATTGTAATAAGCTTTCAGTTGCACCAATAATTGTAGGTGATATCTTTGTGTTCATATTTCACTTGCACTGTATTCCAGTTAATAGGTCTCTCTTTTTTCATTACTTTTTCTGCTTCTTTCTTTACTGTGTTTCTGTGAGTTGTTACAGAAATATAAATTAATGGACATGTTCCTTAATGGTGAGATTTGAATTGACTTCTTACCTTGATGAAGGAGGCAGCAGCTTCCTCTGAAAAGCTGGTCAATATCCATCAGATTGCATGGCGTAGCACTCCAGAAAACAGCCATCTTCATTCTTGTCTTCATAAGAAACTCAAATCTCACTTAATAAACCATTGTGTGGAGGCTACTTTATGTTGCATGTGCAGCAGTCACCACAATGATGATGGAGGCAGTAAGCTCCTATGAAATGTTGGCCAATATCTGTCTTACTGCAGGATGCAATATTCAAGAAGATTGCTATCATTTCAAATGTTTGCAGTCCAATGACTGGAGCTCCTGAAGCTTTTGGTATGGTTTGCAGTACTTACAACGAAATGTTTTTAAAGGCAATATGTTCATGATAAAATTTTTGTATGTGATTGTGAACATTGCAGATATTTCTTTCAGACTTATGTCATCTAGTTTTTGTGCTTTTACTTATGCCAGTGTTTTCTGCTGCAGGTGTCCACGCTGTCACGAGAGCAGTCTGTCGATGTGAGAGATGCTTTTGTGAAAGGAATATATGGCCGACTCTTTGTTCTTATTGTTAATAAGATCAACAATGCAATTTATCGACCAAAAGGAAGTGCAAGGAGTGCTATTGGAGTACTGGACATTTTTGGATTTGAAAATTTTAACACCAACAGGTTGATATTTATAATAATGCAGTATGAACCACTCAAAGAGAACCACTGCCATGAAAATATAAAATTTCCATAAAATAAATTTTTCACATTATTGGTACATGGCAACTTTTTCTATTTTCTCTCAGCCACATTGCTTGTAAATAATCTTGTAACATTGCTGTGTTTAGAGGTTCTTTACATTGACAACATCCTGGCTAACTTGCTTGTCCTAGGACTTCCTTTGTAATGTGTAACTTATTCAGTGATTTGGTCTTTTTCTTAAACTTAAAGGCTCATGCATAAAAGCATAAACTAATTTTTATTTTATTTAATTAAGAAAGAAATATGAAATTTTGCTTTTTGTTGCAGCTTTGAGCAGTTCTGCATTAATTATGCTAATGAGAATCTGCAGCAGTTTTTTGTGCAGCATATCTTCAAACTGGAACAGGAAGAATACAATCTTGAGGGCATCAACTGGCAGCACATTGAGTTTGTTGACAATCAAGATGCACTTGATCTCATAGCTATCAAACAGCTGAACATCATGGCCCTCATAGATGAGGAATCAAAATTCCCTAAGGTTTGTTAACATATATTTGTTTTAGTAATGTTGTTAGATAAAATGCAGGTTACAGGAAAAGTAGGATCAGAACATATGAAGCTACTAATTGGAAGATTGTTGACTTCAACAGGGATAATGAAGGTAATCCATTTATTTATGTTTATAGTTCCAGATTTATTATTAGAAATTTCAGCTTTGTAAAGCAGTTCTTATAAATGACCAGTACGCATCAGAATTAACCGTTGCGTGTCAACTTTCACTTTGGACCCCAGTCCCCAATATGAAGTTCTATATATATTTATCAAGTGCTTTCAGAGAAGGAACATGTTGATGAATGGGTAGACACATTGACAGACGCAACTTGATCATTGTGTCTTTATTTTATGGACCTTTTCAGAGATAATTTGAACACTTTGATGTGTTAAATCTTATGTTAATATGTATTTCTATACCATTTTACTTTCAGGGTACAGATCAGACAATGTTAGCCAAACTACACAAAACCCATGGAAGCCACAGAAATTATTTGAAACCAAAATCAGATATAAATACATCATTTGGACTCAACCATTTTGCTGGTGTTGTGTTTTATGACACACGAGGTGAGTTTCACAGAGGTCATGCTTCTGTTTTGTAATTTTCAAGTTCTAGATCAAAACAGTAAGAGACTGTGTTTATAAAGGAAAAATACATGGAAGTAGGAAGTATTTTAAGTGGCTGATATATATTTGCACAGAATAGATAGTCTGGAGTCTTAAAATTTTTAAACATACTTGTCATTTTTTGTTACCATTTCTGTACGTGAGAATCAGTCTAGAAATTCAACCTTCGGTACATTCTTGAGGCCAGCACTCAAGTTGGTCCAGGAATCAAGTAAAACAAAATACCATAAATGTTACTAGCTATTCTTGTCTACTGGAAAATATTACTCCCACCATGGTTATATTCTCTCATTTTACTGTTCATGTGCACTGTTTAACTTCTCAGGGTTTCTTGAGAAGAATCGAGACACTTTTAGTGCTGATCTACTGCAATTGATCCACATCTCAACAAACAAATTTCTTCAGCTGTTATTTGCCGAAGACATTGGAATGGGTTCAGAGACGAGGAAACGGGCTCCAACATTGTCTACTCAATTCAAGAAGTCTCTAGACTCGCTTATGAAAACTTTGAGCAGTTGTCAGCCTTTTTTCATTCGGTGTATCAAACCCAATGAGTTCAAGAAGCCAATGGTCAGTACATGATGGGTTTTGTGGTAAATATCTGTATTGAATATAATTCATTGTATGGCATTTTAAGTAGATTTAAAATGTAGGATTTGAGGTTTTTGCTGCAATGAGTACTTTATATTTTTCACAGATGTTTGATCGAGGACTGTGCTGTCGTCAACTCCGCTATTCTGGCATGATGGAAACAATCCGAATTCGGCGTGCAGGATATCCCATTCGACACGGTTTTATGGAGTTTGTGGAGAGGTACCGGTTCCTCATTCCAGGCATTCCTCCATCACATAAGGTGATTAATTGAGTCATATCAAATTGGCTGTACGTATAAATTTCCCATCAAATCTTTACACAACAGTATATTTGGGGACTTTGTTCGGAATGTCTGCCATAGGAAAACTGTGTTTCAGAAACAAAGTTTATAATATATGGAAGTATAATTTTAATTTTTGCTGAGGTGCAAGGAGCATTGAAGGTGTTCATGAGAAGAGGGCTGTGGAGAATATTTGGACATACATGGGATTGGAGTTGTTTTTTGTTGTGTAACTTAGTATTGCTGACCAGTAAATAAATTTATTAAAGCACCATCCAGTTATGATTATAAAATATTTATTGAAATTTAAGTATTAACTGCAGGTAACAACCTTTTCTTTTGGTAATATGTCATTGAAGGACAGCCAGGAGCCAGATGTTTGTTTACCATTTTACGTCACACCACCCACTAACAAATGAACTGTTTGTTTATCTGAGTGCCACTTTTGTGATTAGATTCTTGATTATTGCATAAGAATTAACACATTCTAAATAACAATTAAATAAAGTTGTTAAACTAATTTTTTTAATGGTATTTACTGTGAAATATTTTTTCTGCAAGAATTTATTGCATTGTGTTAGAGTATGGCCAATACTTTTGTTATACTGAAATGTTGTTGTTATATTGATATTTATTATAGTAGGATTTTAGTGTCTTTACTTATATGCAGACTGACTGCCGATCTGCCACAGCAAGGATTTGTCAAGCTGTTCTTGGGCGGTCTGACTACCAACTGGGCCACACTAAAGTTTTCCTCAAGGATGCCCATGATTTGTTTTTGGAGCAGGAACGAGATCGTGTACTTACTCGTAAGATACTCATCTTACAGCGTTCAATTCGTGGATGGGTTTACAGGAGAAGGTAACATGTTTTATGAAAGTGATTGTATATAAGTCAAATTCATTATTTATATAGCTGGAAAGAGAGTTTAATTTATTTTATTTCCACTTGGTTAAATTTTTATTTTATTTTGTTTTTGCCCATTTAGTATAATTTTAAAAGTAATAGAGAAAGTTATGATTGTCTGTACAGTGAAATTTCATTAGAACAAATCCGAATATCTCACAGTTTTATAGTTAAAATTAGAATTTCCTAACAAGGAAACATGAAAATATACTACATTTATTCAGATACATTACATTCCCCATTTTTAAAACTAAATTAATGTAGAACTGTACCATAATAATGAGTTACTTTTTGTTTTTGTTGTTGTGCAGCTCTAGAAATCTATACTATTTGTGCCAAGTCCAAGTTCAATGTAATAAACAAAATATATGTGATCCCTGCAGGTTTTTGAGAATGAAAGCTGCAGCATTGATTATCCAGAAGTATTGGCAGGGTTATGCACAGCGACAGCGATATCAGAGGATGCGAGTTGGTTACATGAGATTGCAAGCTCTGATTCGCTCCAGAGTTCTCTCTCATCGTTTCAGACATTTACGAGGTCATATTGTTGGACTTCAGGTTAGTTGAGACTCCGTCTGATGTTATGTAAAAGGTAACAGTATGTACGAATGATATGTTTATTTTTATGACCATAAAATTTAAATGAGATACAAAAAAAAAAGATATTGGTTAGTTAGATATTTATATTATATATCAGAGAAAGCGCTTAAAAAGTGTTTTATTTATTGTCTTCATGGCTGCATTTGTGAAATTTCAGGATATAAGTCTTCTGTAGTGAAAATGAAAATATTTTGAACTTTGTAGCCATTATTTGGTCACAGGAACTTGAATATGGAAATGAGAGCATGCAGAAAAGAAGCAGAGAAGGAGGGAAACTTGCTTTGATAAAAACCCCTTACTTTTTTTCCAGAGGACCTTATAAGCCATACTTTATTTTCACATACATCAAACAAAGGTTAAAGCTACTCAGAGTAAATTTCTTGGAAATTATTTATTATCGTGACATTGTTCTGTGAATGTATCATTATAGGACATAAGGTTGTGATTGATAACAGATTTATTTAATTGTAATCTGTTCAGATTTGTATTTGTGTGTTTGTATAGAAACTTTTGTATTTTATAGGCTCGTGCTCGTGGTTATCTCGTACGCAGGATGTATCGACAGAAGATGTGGGCCATTATTAAGATTCAAGCCCATGCACGTCGCATGATAGCCCAGAGAAGGTATAAGAAGCTTAAGGTAATTATATCATCAGATAAATGAAGGATTTGTGCTTTCTTGCGTTTCTGAAATTGTCCAGAAATCTAATGTTCCTTTTTTTTCAGTTTGATTATAGGCATCACATAGAAGCTCTGAGGTTAAAGAAAAAGGAGGAACGAGAATTGAAAGAAGCAGGCAACAAGAGAGCGAAAGAAATTGCAGAACAGAATTACAGGGTAAACCTCTGTTGCAGTTTACTATATTATTTTGTGCTGTAACATTTTTATTACATCTGGTGAATTTTGCTAAATATCATTTGCATTGTATAATTTAGGCTTTTGGTTTAGAGCCATGTAAAATATTAGATTTTAACCACTGTTTTGGAAAACATTACAATTTTGAAGGTGGGTATGATATTGAGTGAGTCTTTATGTAGGGCAGGCAGTGAGTAGCGTGATTGAGTGGATGCTGTCTAATTGTTAACATTGTATCATCCTTTTCAGTACAAGTCTCTAAAGATAATATGTATTAGTTTAAACTTGTCATAAGTGTACGCTCAGGAGTCACAGTTCCTATTTCTTATCCCTAAATTCTCATAAAACATAATATGTATTGGCAAAATAAATTACTAAATTACTAAATGCACATGTAGTGGATTGGCTGGAATATGTGTCTATACTTAGAATGAAAGTGACACTTTTTTACATTTCTTATATTAATATATCACTGTGGTGTGTAAACAGTATTGGCTTCTGCGTACTTTGATATTTTGTCGCGTTGACTGGTGTGTACCTCATGACATCTTTCACTGTAGTACATACATAATTTTCTTGCAGGAACGCATGATGGAATTAGAGCGCAAGGAGATAGAACTGGAGATAGAGGAACGCCGACGCATGGAAATAAAGAAAAATCTTATTAATGATGCAGCTAAGAAACAGGATGAACCAGTGGATGACAGCAAATTGGTGGAGGCCATGTTTGACTTCTTGCCTGACTCTAGCAGTGAGGCTCCTGCTCCAGCTAGGGAGACGTCGGTCTTCATGGTATGTATCATACTGCTTGGGCAGTTTACATAAACATGATTGCTAAATATACCTTTCTCTGTGGAATAACAAAATGACTGCTGCATAAAATTGGCTTTTACTTTCCATTTGATGGTGAATGTAGAAGAACCATTATGCCCAGATACAGTAGAGTCCTGATTATTTGACCTTTGATTATCGGACATTCCATTTTGTCTTATGTGCCAATTTGGAATGCTCCATTTCAACAGCCAACTCAGCTTGTTGCAGAATGAATCACATTCCCCCACCACACTCCTATATTTTATATACTGATTTCATGACATTTTAATTTGGCACAGGATCTGCCTGTCCCAAAGCCTGACCCACAGGAAATCATCAGTCCCATGCAGACAGTTCCTGAAGATGAGGAGGATTTGTCTGAATTCAAGTTCCAGAAATTTGCAGCAACGTATTTCCAAGGAAATATCACCCATCAGTATTCCAGAAAACCACTGAAACATCCATTGCTGCCACTCCACACACAGGGAGATCAGTTGGTAAGAGTTCTCCATCCTTAATCACTTTGAGTTCATTTTTGCACAACCATACCTGATTTATTTTGAGTATACACTTGTTGGAATCAGCATGACATTTAATGCCAAACTGAGGCTCCAATTCTATGTATATTTTGCTTAGCCATCGTGGTAAAATTTTCTGATGCAGTCTGATATTGGACCAGATCATAATATCTTTAGTATTGGCCTGAGGATTTAAAAGTGCTTTTTTGGAGCTATAAAGCCTGCTTATGAGTTTTTATAACTTTCATAATATCTGGAATAAAATAGCTTGTCTGATCTTTGTGTCAGAATTGTTAGATTGTTCAATATTTTGGACAAAGAACAATTATTATTTAAAAAAATGTGCCAGATTATTGAGACTTCATGTAGCCTGAAATAAAATCAAACTGTAAACTGTTTTGTAAATTGTGATTTCACCTTGCAGGCTGCACAAGCATTGTGGATTACCATCTTGAGGTTCACAGGTGATCTCCCAGAGCCTCGATACCACACCATGGACCGAGATAACACATCCGTCATGTCCAAAGTAACAGCAACACTTGGAAGAAACTTCATTCGTAGTAAAGAGTTTCAGGAAGCACAGATGATGGGTCTGGACCCAGTGAGTACACAATTTTTTTAGTACCATTATCTCACAATTTAATTTGTACATTTAGAAAACTTCATATGTATGTAAAAAATTTACATATAACGAAGTCCAAAAATTAGTGTGTCCTGAAGTACATGATAAATATTAGTTGAAATCAACATGCAGATTTCACAAACATAGTAGAGGAATACTTAGTCAACATTTTTATTGTGAACGGTAAGTACATTTATTTTTGTTTGCCACCACCCACATTACTACAGTTTGCACATTTCGTCTATGGTTTTAGAGCTCATTTCCAAACAGAACATATATTTTATACAGGAATCATTCCTGAAGCAGAAGCCTCGCTCAATCAGGCACAAGTTAGTGTCTCTGACTCTGAAACGTAAGAACAAGCTGGGAGAAGATGTACGGCGGAGACTGCAAGATGATGAGTACACTGCGGACAGCTACCAGACATGGCTTGAATCTCGGCCAACCTCAAACCTTGAAAAGTTGCACTTCATTATTGGACATGGAATTCTTCGCGCAGAACTCAGGTAATTTGTTGGGAACCTCAATTCAGTTACCTTGCAATGCCATGATTTATCATTGGTCACAGCACTGTGTGATTTAATGGTTTGGCTTGAATTTTAACTGAAATATTCTGAGAATTTTGTGACTGGACATGAACGTTTTTAGAGATATTATATTTTTTAAACAGTAATGTATAACATTTTAAATTTTGTGTTACTTTTGACAGAGACGAGATCTACTGCCAGATCTGCAAACAACTGACAAGCAACCCATCCAAATCATCGCATGCTCGAGGTTGGATTTTGTTGTCTTTGTGTGTTGGCTGTTTTGCCCCATCAGAAAAGTTTGTCAACTACTTGAGGGCCTTCATCCGTGAAGGACCGCCAGGATATGCACCCTATTGTGAGGACAGGTTGAAGAGAACCTTTAACAATGGCACCCGCAACCAGCCTCCTAGTTGGCTTGAGTTGCAGGTATAAAAATATGTCTTATTTCTTCATAATTTTTTAATCATTCATTTAAACTAAATTCTTCAGAAACAGTGTGTCAGAATCATTGTAGCTGTTTGGCCTGTGTTGAATATCCATAAGAAAGTTATATCTCACATTCTGTATTCCCTCAGTTTTAAGACACCATCGATTGTAAGACCCATGCTTGACTTAGTAATAGATTTTCAGGAAGCAAAATTGTCAGTATTCAAACATAGGACTTCTTTGTATTAATACTTTTGGAATCTTCTTTGTTGCTGCCTTTCTGTTTACTGTCCTCTGACGTGTTATGGACATGAAGACTTTCCTTGCGGTTTAGTGATACAATATAATTTTTTGACATCAATTCTTAGATGCCATGAAATATAAATTACATTACAGTTTCAGAAATCTTAAAATGTGCTTGGTGAAGGCTACACATTATGAAGTTCTTAAATATTCAGTATTCTCCATTCTCCTGTTACTTTCTTCTCTGAAGTCCAAATATTCTTCTCAGCATTTTGCTTTCAGACACCCCCGACCTGTTTCACACCTATAATAAACAGAATGTAGACTCCCATATACCGGGGGGGGGGGAAATTAACCAGGGTCTATTTGGTTTAAATAAAAATTAGAAATGAATTTATAAAATCTGTTGTAAAAGTTAAAGTGTTTAAAAAGAAAGGCATAAATACAACATTAGCATGTTATTGATTGGTAATAAACATTTTCTGAATTTAACCTTTATTGACCATGCATTGCAGCTTATGCATAGTCTAGTTGGCTATGTGTTGCTCTAGTAAAGTAAAGTTTGTCCCGCTACGTGCCGTATAGGCGCTTGGGGTGAGTGGAGGTATAGCGCCTCTCTTTCTTGACCTCAGCACTAGATGGGGTGAGTGGTCGGCATCACGCCCCGGCCGGCTTTACCCCCGGGAAAGGACCCCGTTACCCATTGTAGAGGAGGCTGGGTGGTCCCCAGAGCTGGTCTGGATGCAGAGGCTAGAGGAAAAATCCTCTGCCCCCGTCGGGGATTGAACCCCATCCGTCCAGCCCATAGCTAGTCACTATACTGACTGAGCTATCCCGGCTCATGTGTTGTTACTCTAGTATTAGTGTTTAAATGCCCTTTATTCCTACAGTTTAGGTTGATTTCCTCTAAACATTTTGGATATGCAGTCTGTGATCTGAAATTGAGTTACTGAATACTGTCATGTAGATTATTTCAAAGTGTTGGTCTTGTTTTAAATGCAAAATCATTCCACAGTGATGTTTGTGGAATTGAAAGAAACATAAAATTAGCAAACAATTTTTTTTTATTTCAGGCTACAAAGTCAAAGAAGCCTATCATGTTGCCCATCACATTTATGGATGGCAATACCAAGACTTTGCTGGCAGATTCTGCAACAACAGCTAGGGAATTGTGCAATCAGTTGTCAGACAAGATTGGACTCAAGGACCAGTTTGGTTTCTCTTTATATATTGCCCTCTTTGACAAGGTATGTTGAAAATTTAATGTTGCTCTTTGGGGACAGATTAGGATTGTTAACTGACTATTGTACATCGAGGCTGCAGCCGTACATCACTGATCTCTTTTAAAGTGCCAAGTGCAGAAGGAGAGATCCTTCAATCAGATCCTATCTCAGTGTACAACGTAAGCTGGATGTAGGTTAGAGATCTCTCATATGTAAAATTATTCTTTTGGTCTTTGCCCATCATCTTAATTATAAAATTATAAAACTGCAGTGTTTCAGAATGTGTTCTTTATGATTTATCAGCTAAAGTACATATTTTTTACCATGTGTTTGTTAGTAAACTGCATTTAAATAATGAAATTGGTTATTTCTTATATCATATTTTTTGATAAACTTAACACTTATGTCTGCACATATATTTAATTAATCATCAATGTGCATCTGTAATTAACTTCGTAAACAATAAAAGGACATTTATTTAACTGTTAATACATCACAAAGAGTAAATGCTGCATTTTTCATACTTATTTAGTTAAGGTTCTGAAATTGAAAGGATGTGACCTCAAATATCTTTTATATTATTTATTGCTGCGATATTGTATTGTAATAATTCTTGTACTTAGTAAATACAGTAAACCCTCAATTTAAACAATTTTGGATTTAATGAACACCATCTGGTATTGCCACATTTTTTCTGTTCAATGGTGTTCCTAATGGAAATTATGGTTTAAGGATGCATTACTTGCATTGTAAAAACAGCTGTGGAATTTAACGGACAGTCGGCATTAGCGAATGCTCCTCCCCCCCCCCTTTTAGTCTGTTAAATCAAGGGTTTACTGTAGATTTGTTTATACTTTAAACCACATATGGTTTTCCTTTATTGAGAGAGCGGAGAGAATGTGTGGTCTGGCAGCCACCAGACTGATATGAAGGAAGGAAATGGGTGAGAAGAAAAATATTAGTTGGAATATCTTCATCACACATGAATGATGTCATAGACAGTGCCAGTGCTGGTGTATATTTAGAACATGAGAAATCTGATACTTCATGCTACCAATAGTCCTGCATTTAATTGTGGAAAATTTTCTTCCAATTTTTATAAATAAATTATAGAATGTATGTTTTCCTGGTATGCAGAACATTTCATTTTACTGTGATGCAGGTATCTTCTCTGGGCAGTGGAGGTGACCATGTGATGGATGCTATTTCACAGTGTGAACAGTATGCAAAAGAACAAGGCGCGCAGGAGAGGAATGCTCCTTGGAGACTGTTTTTCCGTAAGGAGATCTTTGCTCCATGGCATGAGCCCACAGAGGACCCTGTGGCAACTAATCTCATATATCAGCAGGTGGTGAGAGGTGTGAAGTTTGGGGAGTATCGTTGTGACAAGGTATCTCAGACACTACCTTAGCATAAACATAGCATGTGTGCAGGATGAGTATTATTCATGTACAATGACGATATAGATAATATATTAAAGCTACATCTATGCCTGTATCTCTGAAGTGATTAAGACTTTTTTATAGACTCCTATTTTTTGTTATGTAGTAATATACACTTATTACAGCATATTTTGACTCCTGATGCTGTCTTCAGATGATTTTAAACTGTTTACTTTTAGGAAGAGGATCTGGCCATGATTGCTGCTCAACAGTACTATATAGAATATTGCTCGGACCTTAATGTCGATCGGCTGTACAACCTTCTGCCTAGCTACATCCCTGATTACTGCCTTGCTAGTGCTGATAAAGCTATAGATCGCTGGGGCCAGCTGGTTGTACAGGCATACAAGAAGGTATTTTATCCGAGTAACTTTGATTGGTATGCTACTAACTTTATTTGTTTATGCATGTGACATTTTAAATGATGTCCTTATTGTGCTTGATCTCGATTGAAACATTTTTGTTTCTTAATATAACCAAAGTCTCTTGAGAAAGGTTTTATATGCAACATTATTAACGATGTTTTTCGTGGTTGTGTTACCGCATAGACTCTTAGGTTCATACCAACATTGAAGAAAAAACAGTCAACATCTTCAAGGCTGAAGATCGAGATATGTTCCTTTGAATATTGGTATCTACTTATGAGTCCACATAGCATTACAATATAGAAAAACATTATCATTTTCACTGCTTTGAGTACCTCAGATCTTAAATCTCGGACAACCAAAGAATCAGCAACTGATGACATGAAATATGCATGATGAAATCAAAGAAGTGGTGTGAAGATGATATAAAGCCTAACAAAAAACATTTTGCCTGTCATCTGGGTTGTAGTGGCATGTAGTCTGGTAGAAGTTTATCATTGTTTCAAAGGTCCTTGCTGCCGCCATCATCAGGGTGATCAGTCATTGCCCTGATCGGTTTGATGTTGGTAAACTTATATCAGACTACATGGTGCTACAACCCAGAAGACAGCTACTTTCATACTCACCATTGTGAGAACCTCAAATCCTACCAAAAACATGTTATCCTTATGGAATTATGAAACTTGTTGACATTTCATTTTGTGTAAAGACAGTAGTAACTCTTAATATTAAAAGATGCATATAGCATATGTATTGTTTATTAAATATAATTTCTCACACCATTTATTTTGTAAAAGTATTCCTATAAATGAGATGTAACTGCCTGACTTACTCAAGATGTGTGAAGTTAATCTTGCTGAATAAACACTTTATTATAGTTTCATATAATTTTCATGCACTAGTAGTTTTTATATAGAAAGAGTACTTGGATTTGTTGTGCTTTAGTGTTCTTAAATGAACTCTTAACACTGTTTTGAACAGAGATATAGTTTTATGTTGTATTACTTTCAACATTTTAGGAAGTATCTTTTACATTCATTTCAATTTGTTGTATTGCATGCTTGCTTATTTTTTGTTTAAAATGTTTTCAACAGAGTTATTATTTGAAAGAGAAAGTTCCAGCTCTCCGGGTTAAGGAGGATGTGGTTAGTTATGCCAAATTCAAGTGGCCTCTACTCTTCTCCAGATTCTATGAAGCATACAGAAATTCTGGTAAGAGTTCCACTACGACAAATTGCTGTAATTTAGGAGTAATTATAATATTATTATTATATGTATATGCCAACTACTGCAGTTGTACCATCTTCTTGCCAAAATGTCAAGATTCCTTAGTAATTAAAACAGTCAAGATGACTCAGGTGTTAAGCATAAATCCTACTTCAGTTTGTAAGTTATATGTGGTGTAACACTGCCTGAAGTTTACATGTCTGTTCCAGGTCCCAATTTGCCGAAAAATGACGTGATTATCGCAGTTAACTGGACTGGAGTGTATGTGGTAGATGATCAGGAGCAGGTTCTCTTGGAGTTGTCCTTTCCTGAAATTACCACAGTGGCCAGTCAGAAGTAAGTACATAAGGGCATTTTCACATCACTTGGGGCATTAAATTACTTCAGGTGGATGGGTTTCTTTCTTACCACCATACTGTGCAGTCAGGGGAAAATCAGTTGGAGCATAATAGTGACACTTTATTCCCACTTAGTGCCAAAATTATTAATGTGTGGCATTGTACCTCAATCTCCCATGTTTCATGGCATGGTGCGTAAGCAGGGACACCTTTACCAATTGTCCTTACCCTACAAGTAGCATGTGTTAGGCCTGTGATATAAAGACCAGAAAATAGCTGTGCTGCAACCCCTGTTGAGAAAGAATGGGGGTTAACTTTTTTAATTCCAGTTTTCTCCAGAATGAATCTGTACATTAACCACAACTTGTAACTTATTTTGATCCCATCTCTGCAGGACCAATAAAGTGTTCTCACAAACCTTCACACTTTCAACAGTCCGTGGTGAGGAGTTTACATTTCAGAGCCCTAATGCAGAAGACATTCGTGACTTGGTAGTCTACTTCTTGGAGGGACTCAAGAAACGATCCAAGTTTGTGATTGCATTGCAAGATTACAAAGCACCAGGTTTGTACCCAAATCCAGTTTGCAGTATTTACCTGAAAAACAGATGCAGATTTTTCTCACTATAGAGAATGAACAGTGTCAAGTGGTCCCAACTGAGGTTTTTCATAGTTTTACTCAGACACTCGAAGCAAGTCACGACTATCTTGTTCCAGATCCTTATTGGCTTGCTGTTCATGATTAAGTTCCAAATTAATTTGACACTATAAACCATTCACAAATGAATTAGTGTTATTAAATAATCTAATGATCAATCAATAAAACATGGTTACAACTTATACATATTAATTATTTATTCAAGTATTTTCTTCAGCAGCTAGCTCAATGAGACAATCTGTTTAATAGATGTTCTAGATGTGTTTAAATAGGTAAAATTCCTCTGTCATTAGTTCCTTACAGTAACATCTTAATGAAAATTTTATGAAGCAAATAATATGTATTTGGTTCACAGGTGAAGGTTCATCATTTCTAACCTTCCTGAAAGGGGACCTAATTGTGTTAGATGATGATAGCACAGGTGAAACTGTGATGAATTCTGGCTGGTGTGTGGGCCGTTGTGAACGCACAGGTGAAAAGGGGGACTTCCCTGCTGAGACTGTCTATGTGCTGCCATCATGCACTAAACCTCCACAGGACATCTTGGTAAAAGAAGAACTTAAGTGTAAAATTGAGGATAATGATTTAAAATAGTGTTCTCTAAACATTTTCAACTGTTTACCATTTTTATAGGTAAAATTGCTGTTGGGATATTTAAGATAGTCGGTAGGAAGATTAAAGGTTATGAGCAGAATGGTAGCAAGACTTGGAGGCTCAAAAGTAAACACCCATTACCAGTTTCTTAAGAAATAAGCACATTCATTTGCAAATGAACATTATGTTTAATACTATTATTGTTTTTGAGATTCTTTCATTTGATGCAGAATTTTTTCTTCATAATTTAATAACATTATAAATTGAGTTGATATTTACCCTCATCTTTGTCATTAGTCAATTGAATAAAAATTTACTTGGATATTATCCATCGTCTAGTAAATTTTTATTCAATTGACTCTTTACCATCGTCAAGAAGTTTTAGATTTGTCATTAGTTTTCCATATTATCCAGCATTTTTGATTATCTGACAATTCTTCTGTCCTGTTTAGGTTGGATAATGAGACTCTTCTGTGTTATTATTTTAGCAGTATTACTTGTAGAAGGAAATTTATTCTTAAAACAAAATTTGCTTGCTGTATTTTGTAACTTTAGGCCACACATGGAACCACATTCACAAACATTATTGACAGTGACTCCACTTGAAAACTTAATGTAGTAACTTCATGTACAGGCACTGTTTAGCCTGGAAAGTGCTGAACATGGACGTAAAATTCATCCCCAGCAAGTGAATGGGATTGAGGCTCGAGAAAAACCACATACGTTGGCTGAATATGCAATCGATCATTTCAGGTTAGTAGAGTACTCAGGTGAATGCTACTGTCATTAAATAAATTGTTGGTATTATTTTGTCTGAACACATGATTTTAACATTTATGGTGTCATCTTGGGTTAAAATAAATTCACTTTAATTTTCTTTCTATTTTATGGAATTGTTTTTGAATATAATGTTCAACTTAATTAATGAAAGGGGTTGTATGCATTAATATGTAATTGGCAAAATTTTCTATGCCTGCTTTAAAAACCAATAGTGAAGTCATTGACACTGTCATTTGTGAAGTCTGTTGGTTACAGTTTGCAGTGTTGGACAAGACTCCCAGGTCTTATGTCCACTTCCAAGTATCTTTACATTTGTTTTACCATTTTAAATTCTTTACTTTTATTTTAAGCTATACTATGATATCTCATTTTTGCTAAACCCCCTCCCCCCAGTTTATAATTTATTCCAACTCATGTTTTGTCACTGATCTCTTCAACTTCTGGCTTCCTCACATCTTAGTATGTGGCTCCAGCCATCTTTTTTATTACACATAAGGCACATTCTCTTCTGTATTTCTCCCAACATTCTTCAGTCTCCAGATACCCATTTTCCACCATCCTGTACCTCTTCTTGCCTCTTGGGTACATACTTTTATAATTTATTTTACCAACTACTCATCAATTTATTGTAAAATATCAGTATATGTATTTATTTTGATGGGCATTTATTAGTAAGTGCTTAACTAAAAGCAATGCTTACAGACCACCACCAAAGCGCACCATGTCCAAGGCCCTCACACTAACGTCAGCTCGACGTGGTAACCCGGAAGAGCTATGGCGTCATTCTAGAGAGCCACTGAAACAGCCTCTCCTCAAGAAGCTGCTTACAAAGGAAGAATTGGCGGAAGAAGCTTGCTTTGCTTTCTCAGCAATGCTGAAATATATGGGAGACCTTCCATCCAAACGACCACGTATAGGCAATGAATACACTGACCAGATCTTTGATGGACCACTTAAGCATGTGTGTACAATCAACTGTTATTTGTATTTAAACACTTCTTTAGTTTGAGTTATATATGTTAGGAAATCCACTGTATGACCCAATTACAGTGAACTGCTAATTTTGTAATTACTGGTATTGTATATAATTCACAAGAACTGATCTATTCAGCCGGCATCATCATTTATTTATCATTACAGGTGGATTTGGTTGATGGTTACTGGGAGTGTGACATGCTTTGAGTAAACATTTATGTAATTGTGTATAGATTCTGTTAAATTTGTTCTATATAAAAAGGAAGGCATCATCTTTGTAATGGGATATAATCTTTAAAAACATACTTCACTTTAGTACCGTACTTATGTTATTTATTGTGTTAAGGACATTCATTCATTTATTTATTGAGTTGAGGTGAATTTGATTGGCTACATTAACTGTCTTCTTGTTTGTTGTTATTGTGAAAGTTAGTGGGCATCGTATATTTTTACCATGTTAATCCAACTTGATAACTGTTTCAGGAAATTCTGCGTGATGAGATCTACTGCCAGGTCATGAAGCAGCTAACAGACAACAGAAATAGGCTTAGTGAAGAGCGAGGTTGGGAGCTGATGTGGCTTGCAACTGGACTTTTTGCCTGTAGCCAAAACTTGCTCAAGGTGGGCTGTAGAAAATAAGTTCTCCAAATGTGAGATTTGACATTTCCGTGGCCTGGGTTTTTTCACCATGTATACTTATTGGTAAATTACAGCATTTCAGAGAAACATGCTGTCACCATCTTCTCTAAATGTTATCACGGTCGTACAGAATAAGAAAGTCATAGAATTGGTAGCAGTATTGTAAGATACAACGTAAATATGTGAATTTCTCGTGACTGACAACTATTTTATCAGGCAAATTCCATCATGTTTTGTCAGATGCATTAACATTTAATTTGAGTATAAAAGGTCTTCTACAAATATATTTGTGGCTATTGCAGAAGAATAAGACGAATAGTTGTGCCAAATCTTTTTTTTAAACTTTGCATACCAAGTAGTGTATTAGAATATAAAATAAGCAAAAACCAAACTACTAACACTATAAAAAACACTAGTTTGTTTGCTTATTTTATATTCAAATCTTTTTTGTATTTTATGAAGTAAAGAAAATTTTCAGAACTGTGAAGGAATTATTGGCAGCATGTTTATGAAAGTGATCATGCTAATGCATTGAAAATCACTGTTACCATAGTCGGACAGTTCCTGACGTATACTGACCATTATCATAAACTTGTGTCCTTATGAATGTCAGGTTTCTACAGTCCTTTCTGCTTATTCAGCCAAAAGTGTTCTTTATTTTATTGATAGGTCTCTTCTAGATATCACAGATTTTCAGTAATTCTTGTAATTCCCATATAGATTTCTCTTTTTAAGATGGCAGTGTAAAGCAAATGCTGCATATTATTAAGAAATTAGATGCAGCCTTGTTCTTATCCAGAAGCAAAACACTTTGACGATAGAGCCAGTGACTTTGTAGTTATTGAGACTGTGTGACTGAAAATGTTTCAGTTAGTAGTGAAGGACTGCTCAATTTCCATTTGTTGCACCAAGTAGAAAATAGTGAAGAAAAATGCAATTATTTTCTAGTAATAATAACAACAGTTGTTACAACAGTTAATGTAAATAGTGTTAATGTTGCTTGGACATTCTTTTACAGTGCTGTCTTTAGAATATCTAGATATGTTGATTAGTTTAAGAATTGTGGCCTTCAGAACATTGTTTTCTTAACAGTGTCTGGTAGCAAAATGCAGAATGGGTATCCAGGATGGCACTTTTGAATATGTTAAGCACGAAGTATGGACATTTTTAGCTTGGGAAGCATATAATATTTAATAATGTAATAATGAGAATTGCCCTAAAGAAGTTTCACTGTATATGAAAAGTGTCAAATATGTTAATGGCTGAACTTTATTTCTAGAATATAAAATGATCATAATCAATAAGATCTAACTGTATCATAACCAGGTATTAGTTCACTTATTTTAAGTTGTCATTTTTAAGGAATTGACCTTGTTCCTGCGAACACGAAGGCATCCCATATCACAGGATTCTCTGCAACGACTCCAAAAGACACTTAGGAATGGACAAAGAAAGTATCCACCCCATCAGGTGGAAGTAGAAGCCATTCAGCACAAAACAACACAGATCTTCCACAAGGTCTATTTCCCTGATGATACAGATGAGGTATGGATTTTTATTCCACTGTCATATCTTCATAATTTTTGTCATTACATTAAATCTTTATAGTATGGAAGAAATGTATTGATGTGGATAGACATAAGTTGTTAATTCTTATAGCATAAATTTGTTAGATCAGTGATATATAAGTGCTGTGGATTACTATTGGTGATTAGATTGATTCTCCACAGTTGGCATGTCTGTCAATTTGCACTGATTGAGGATCTAGATTGTGGTCACAGAGTCAGAAATAGAAGACTAATTATTTCATTCCTGTGTTATTCAAATTAACAATAAAAACTAATTGTAAAATAACATTTTAGTTAATTTATAACTATTTAGTAGCATATTTTAGAGCTGGCTTAACTCAATATAGACTGAGGGCAATGCGTGATGGAGGCAGTAAGGACCTCTGAAATGTCATTAAACTTATAGCAGACTACACATTGCTATTACCCAGAAGACAGCCATCTTCTGATGATGTATAGTTGTTTGAAAGAAATTAATGTTTAGATATAAAAGGCATGAATAACTTGGTAAATTAATGATATTGCAAAACACGGTGCCTTGCAATTTGTTCCTTTATCCTACTTAGGATTCTTGAAATGAAGAAGGTTATGATGGGATGGACATGCAGTTCTAACAGGGTGCATGGAACGTGTAGTGTTTTGGTGAGGATTCTAAGGTCAAGCCGGAGTTCGCAATTGAACGAGATGCTAGTGAAGTACTTTGTTGGGACAGGAACTTAATTCAGCTGTCTCAGGATAGGAATCAGTAGCTGATTCTGGTTACCTGCAATCGGAGCACTGGGAAACTGATCAATCAGTCTGTTGCTTAACCAATTTTTTGGTTAGTTGGAGTAATTTGGTTGCCTGTGTGGATGTTTGGAGCACGAAAGCTCATTGTTGTACCTTTATTATACTGTTTTCTTATATAATGTAATTAAAATGTCAGGGAAGTTTAGCAATGTATACAACATCCTGTGATTGCAGAGTAAAGATTGATATTGAGAGGCTATTTTAAGGTTGCATTGAGGTTTGGTCATAGGGACTAGATCCTACCTATGTTAAGGGGAGCTAGATTTCCTGCTTACCCACTTTATAAGGTTATAATTTGTTGCAGTATAAATATGAACTATGAATCTTGTAGGTCCTGTTATATTAATGTATAGATTTTTATGTCAGGCATTTGAGGTTGATTCCTCAACGAGAGCGAAGGATTTCTGTCAGAACATATCTCAACGCCTGAACCTAAGGTCAAGTGAAGGTTTCAGCTTGTTTGTCAAGATTGCAGACAAGGTGATCTCTGTGCCAGAGGGCGATTTCTTTTTTGATTTTGTTCGGCACTTGACAGACTGGATAAAAAAGGCACGCCCATCTCGAGATGGTGAGTAATTTGATGTGGTTTTAAATATTATAAAATTGGTTTTCTTATTTAAGGTTCCTCATGAATATAAACTATAAATAGAAAGTGACAAATTTCTGTACAACAGTCTGCCTTTAGAACAGTATCTCTTTAATTTTTTCACACTTTGAATAAAATATATTTCAGAATTCTGCCATTGGTTGTCTAAATGTCAAAATTTAGTTGCCCGTGCAATATTAAATGTGAACGCTGAAATATATATTTTATTTTAAAAAAAGTCATGAGAAATAGAGGGGTAGAGACAAAAGAAGAATGAAGGTGCAAAATTTAGAACTTGGGTTCTTTATTCATATAGACAAAAAAAGGAATGTTCAAATATTTAAGAAACTTTGGGTTTATAAAATAATTGAAGGGATTTTTACATGTAGGAAGAGTGCCATGTAGATATAGTGAAATGGGTGGCTTCAGGTGGCAGAAGACAGCTTCGAAGATTAAAAAAACAAATAGGTCTTGAAAAGGTAATTTTGAAGCCAGAAATGTTTTATTTGTACTTTATTTAAAAATCCTGTCAGTAGCTTAGACAGTTAATGAATAATGAATTTGAAGGATATAGAAGGAAGCATGCAAGGCCTGATTTGAAAAAAAACTACCCATAGAAATGTTACAAATATGTAAAGATAAAGTATGTTACATGTTCTGAACTTCCTGGTGTGATTCTCTTGTAACATGGAAGTGGTAAAATTAAGTTAGTGAGAAACTGTCTTTTGCTAGAATAATGTGTTGATTGATATACATTGCAATCACTTAGTCATCATGCACATTTTTCTTCCATTGTGTCTTCACATTTAATTTAAATCTATATAAGTCTGCAGTTGGTACAGCATCCTTAAATAAACCTCATACTGTGTTTGATGCTTATCATATATATTGCTAGAATGTTCAGAATGGCACTGAATTGTTTTGCAGGTACATCGCCACAGTTTACATATCAGGTGTTCTTCATGAAGAAGCTGTGGACGAATACGGTTCCAGGCAAGGACAGAAACTCTGACCTCATCTTTCACTTCCATCAGGAGCTACCAAAACTTCTCCGAGGTACTCAGTGTAACAAAATCCGCACTCTTATCAAATATGAATGTGATCTTAGTAAGAAAGAGCTTTGAGTGCTCGCAAGTACCAGCATTGCACAACTAAGATGTAGTTTAAAATGTGAATTCAGTGTCAGTTTTTGTGATTAAAGATGGTTTTATCATAGTGATATATTTATTCCTTTCCAGTCCTTACTGCATAGTAGAGAGCACACCAACCCCAACTATATTCACTTTTAATTTGTTAAAGTCTGTTCTAATGCACCTCTGAAGACTGTCATATTAGGATTATGAACATATGAATTTTATAGCCAGATTCAAGTAACATAAGTTGAAAAA